GAAGTCAGGGGAAAGTCAGGGAAAATGGAATTTGGGATCTGGTATGAACCCTGACACCGTACGCACACTTTTCCTTGTGCACACGCCTCGTTGTGCGTGCTCATACTGTTTGACTTTCCGCAGCTGCCACGGCGGGTCGCTGCAGCTGACGGACGGATCGCGGGAGCGTGCCGCGCGCGGGGTGTCGCTGTGCGGGGCCAACGAGCGCTTCACCACGCCCGTCGTCATGTTCGCCGACAGGGGTCCGGCCACGCTCACCTTGAGGTAAGTCATAGCAAAAATTTGAAAAAAAAAAATGGAACTAAAACTACGTGTTTTCTCTGTTTTGAAAATTAAAAATCCTAAGCCATGCTGATCGTCACTGGGGCTGCTCTACCTCTGCATATTGTGCTTACATTGTGCTTGCCGGTTTTGGCCCCCTCGCTTCGGCTTCTGCCTTCCAGTTCATCGCCCTCTCTCACGTCTCACGAGGGGGGGGGGGCGTTCGTATTTCTGTGTAGGCGTGCACGATTGTACATTATTTTGAGCGCATATACTTGCATTTATGTCCTATCCTGTTCATAACTGAGCTTAAAAGAAACGTAAGAGCGCAGGGAAACAAGACAACAAAAGGGAGTATTGAAAAGTTCACAAAAATTTAGTGTGCCCTTCTATTCACTCTTTTGTCTATCTCCAATTGCTGAGCTCTTCTCTTTCTGCGGAGGAATTCCCAACACCCCGTTCGAGTTTATCTCCTACCCCCTCCCCCCACTTTCTATCTCTTTCTTGCTAAACCCGATATCGCCTCTCCGCGACAATGGCTGGCGATAGATTTCCTGGTCGCTGCCGGTGAGGTTTCGGCTGCGCGGCAGGTAGGCGAGCGCACTTCGGACCGTCTGTGTTAGGCGCGCCCGCCGCGGTGGGCGCCCCCCCCCCCCCCCCCTTTTCCCCGGGGGGTCTGACCCGTTCGGCCCGATACGCGGAGCGTTGCAAACGAGGGCGGGGACAGAGGGAAGGTTAGTCCCCCGGCGCGGCGGGGCCAGCGGACCGCACGCCCGACCGTAGCGCGCGGTCCGCGACGACTGTCTGTATGTACTTGTTTGCGAGTTTGCCTTGTCGGTGCGGTTGTGGGTATTTGCCGCCGCAGACTGTCCGCGCGCCGCGCTGCTCGCAGTTCGTTTATGTATGTGTCGTCGTTTGAGGCGGCCCGACATGGGGAGCCACCGGCCACAGCACAGGGGGCGTCGGGGTACATTTTATTCAATACCACTTCCATTTAGTATTAAACAAGGAGCGCGAGTCATCTGTTTGTTTTTATTTTTTGAGGTAGTCCCTGTTTCTTTCCCTTTGCGCGAACCCCTATACGCCCCCCTCCCCGCCGTGGGGTGGCTCTGGTCGGACAGGCTTGAGGTGGGCGGACCTGCTCGGGCCTGCCCCAAAAAGTAGGATAGGGGGGGGGGGGAGGGAACTCTGCATGAATAATTTGCCGACCTCGACAATTTTAATGATGTGCTATTTTCCTCCGAATCGCTCCGCTCCCATTCTCCTTCCAACATTCCATTAATTTCTAATCAGATAACCCACACATTCCGACACGCACTCGCCCACGCGACACACACACACCTAACGTCGTCTGCTCCCTCTCTCTCTCTCTCACACACACACAATTACACACATCCACCCCTTTTTCGCACCATCACCATAATTACTTTTGTGGTCGGCGATTAATACTTTTTCTTCTTATTATTCTTCTTCTTCCTGCTCTGCTCGTCGCGTTGCGTCGCGGCCCGGTCCGGCGCGTGGGGAAGTCCCAGGGCAAACAGACGGTCTGGCGACGGCCAACAAAAGCGCGGCTCAAACAAAGGCCGTCTGCGCCGAGACTGGTGGAGCCGGGCGAGCCGGGCCGGCGGCGCTGCTGTTTTCCATCCCCAGCAATACCGGGAGGAAGAGAATGTCACCGACTTTTGGTCTGCCTTTTTGGTTTCTCACGCGATGGGGAGAGGAGAGAGAGAGGGGGGGGGGGGCGCGCGCGACGCCCCGTGTGCGAGGAGGCGCAGTAAAGGGAATAAGAAGTGAGAGAAAAAGGAGGGCTTTCAGGGAGAGGAGCCGCGAGCCCGCCCTTCAGTTTGGACAGACTTTTGGTCGCCCGGCGAAAAGGAGGAAGAGAGGGAGACGCGCGTCGGCGAACGCGTCATTTTTATTTTCGCGGCTGTTGGTGATTGCAGGAGAGGGAATATGAGATGAGGCGGAGGAGGCATGAGCGAGCAGGCGTGTGGCACCGGGAGGGGGGCGCGGGGGGCGGGGGAGGTGACTAGGTTCCACTGCTCCCCCTGCCCAGGGGAAATCTCTTAAGACAGTAAGAATTGACTGTCATGGGGGATCGGGAGAGAGAGAGAGAGAGAGAGAGAGAGAGAGGTGGGAGGGGGGGAGTGAGATACCGTCTGGGCCAGGGAGGGGTATCCCGCTGGGACAGATGGCTATCTGGTTAACTTATCAGGGTCGCAGCCCGTCGGCTGGGCTTGGCTGACCCGCCCGTCCCGTCTCGACGTCTCGGCCGACTCGTTCAATCGAATTATCGACTTGCGCTGCGAATTTTAACGAATTTTGTTTTAACACGCTCCGCTTCTAATCGCATTCCGATGCGCTGCGATTTTTATTTTCTTTCTCGTTCCCCCCTTTTCTCGGCTGGGGCCGCGCGACGCGTTGCGGTGGAGCGGAGCCGGCCGGTCAGACAGCCGCAATGAACTCTGATAATTAAATCACGGAACTTTACACTTTGTGTCGGGGCCGCCTCCGAAAACAGAGCAGAGGGAAAGGTCTTCGGCAGCCGTCATTACCGAAACCGAACCGGACGGAATGCGGGGGGCAGGGAGGGTGGGGGTGAAATGCCGGGGGTGGGGGTGCAGCTCGGGCTGGGGAAGGGGGGCCGGAAATGGTGTGGCTGAGCCTGAGACCGCTCGGGTAGCAGGTCGGTTCGCCGGTTCGAGGCCCGAGCCCGGGGGGGTACGGCCCGACCCCTCCAGTTAATGCGTCACTGGAAGTAACGAACAAATGCAGATGTAGTCTAAACGATCAATAGCAAAACAAGGGTAAATGTACTGTACCATACGTCACGCGGTACCCGTTCTAGTTGAAGTCCGAAAACTTATTCGTTTTAGAAAATTGACTGTGAATTTAACTTTATGTCACGACCAGTCACGACCATATTTTTTCACTATGTTCACGTATCGGAGGAGATAATACCTCCTCCGTAAAATCAAGTTTAGACGTATCATTTTCGTCCTCGCATTTTGTAGGGAAGGAGCATCATCGTTTCCTAAAGATTTTTAGTCTCTCTCTCCCTCCCTTCTTCTTGCTCCTCCATATTGTACCGGGTGTTTCATAAGAGACACAGGTGCGGGCGGGTTTGCCTACCCGCTCTGCCTGTAAGGCGCCATAGCCGCCTAGGCAAACCCGCCACCGCCAACTCCAACGTCTTTTATGAAACACCCGGTACATGCGACTCAAAGTCAGATACCTTCTCAAGAGGGCGCGAGCAGGGAGTGCGAGAGCAGTGACAGTGACCCAAATAGTATCGCTCCCGATGTGAGTGAGATTCCTCTCTACACATACTAAAATCTTATGAACTTTTTTATGCGCATCTTACTGAGTTCTGTGTGCATGCTGTGTTGTGCATTATTTGAATACACATTTAGGAACAAATTTCAAGAATTAAGTGCAATTATGAACTATTTTGTTCATAACTGAGTATTAAATAATACGCAACTCAGCATGCACACAGAACTCAGTAAGTAACTCATAAGATTTTAGCGTGTAATATTGGGTGAGGTCAGGGAAGTGTCACTCCCTTAACAGTGAGAATTCGGTGCATTTGACTCAAATAGGGCCTGCCTAAAAGTCCTCCCTTTGATTCGGCGAGGGAAAATTGTCTCGCTCATTTCAAGCACGTGAAATCTAACCCAAGGGTTTGTTTGCAGTGTCGCACTGTATTCCTTGACTGTCCTGATTTCATTTCCTGCCTCTTGGATAGGCGTAAGCATAAGTCCTCCTCCTCGCGAAAGGCCGCTTTATAACAATTCAGTACAATTACACACTCGCTGCGTCTCTTGCTGTGCGTGTTGTGTGTAAGTCGGCCTCCTCGACCTCCCGCTCTTGCGCACCGCCCACGCTCTGCCCTCTCCTCACGCTCCTCTGCCGTGCTGCTCCGCCACGCTCCGCCACGCTCCACTACGCCGACTTGGACCCTACGGGAGTCTTGAAAGGCTATTTGGCGAGTGCCCTAGAGACCCTACAAACGAGCCGAACTGCCACGCGAGTCCCAAACCTCTTGAAGACCGCTGTCTGGCGCGGCTGGTCAATATCACTCTTGCCG